GATAAGTGCACCGCATCTGCTCAGACTTACCAAAGCTGCTGCAACTTGCTGCCCAACCTTATAGACCTGTTTCTCAGTGAGGTCATATGGGATACCATCCATTGTCATTACATCCTAGAGACAAAGGATTGAGCAATACATCAAACAATCATCCTAGCAGGGAGGAAAGGTGTGGGTGAACCCCAGCTTCTTTCTAATGAAATGGAACCATACCTTCTAACCCCGCTCTTACTTTATGCCCCATAGCCCATTAGCATTATTAGCTTGCCTTGAAAGAGCAGATGTTTATAGACGGTTAGATTATCATCTATTGATAATGCCTTGGAATTGGAACAAGCACCCAAACAGAAGTAGTATCAGGGTGAATAGGTGATTGAAAAACAAAGGTGATGGATAGAAGGTTTTGATGAATTGGGTGGTAGCAAGGATGACAGATTATGGAGTTGCAAAGATGGAGGAAAGATGAATGGATGTCATGAGTGACAGGAGTAGAGAGAACTGGAAAAGGAGATGGAAATATACATAGTCAAATAAACCACAAATGAAAGATGAGTAGAGAAGCATATTTATAGATATGGGTAGTTGGATAGGTGAAAAGAGCCAGACATGACATGGATACTTAACAAGCTGACCAGACATATGTAACAGTGTTCAGTGAACATTTGGTGCTTAAACACATGCAAGAGTTCTTCTTTATTCTGTGTCTGTTTCCTACTGGCCCTGCATAGCAACAAATGCTCCCCAGGCCCCCACCAAGAACGTGCCTGGGAAACTTAGCTCTTATAGGGGCAGGATCAAGTCCTGAAAGACATCTTCAGGTTCCCCCAGCTTGACTGTTACAAGACCTAAAAATCAGCTGCCTGGCCCCAGTGATGGGAGGAAATGGAGTTAGGTGCCTGGGCTCCCTGTACACTCAATGGGAAGAGTCAGGTGCCTCCAGGGGATCATACACAAAAAGCCCCACCTGTTACGTGGGAGCAGCCTAGAGTTGGCTAGTGGGAAACCTTAAACATCAGGGGGATTTGGAAAAATTTTCAAAGGACAATATTTCCAAAGCTCCACACCTCCTTGGAGTTTAGTCTTTTGGCTGAGGCCTAAACATTAGTCACTCCTAACCAGCTGGTATTCAGTCTTCTTCTGAAGACAGGTGCCACACTGAGCAGGCCTCATTCTTGTTAAGAAGTGATGATGATAGAATGACCCATCTTTTACATAATATTCTAGCAGGTATAAAGTTTGCTTAGTCAAGCGCAAGACCTAGGTTCCAGGTCTTCCTCAGCCTGAGGGACTTCAAATACACATCTCCCACCTCCCAGAAGATTATCTTAATCACAAGGCTACAAAATTGTCTTTGAGGCACATTTCACCCCTCTTATTGAAGCTGACCTTCTGGGCAGCCCAGAATATAGGAATATGGGACTGAGGCATTGAATCCAGTCCCCTATGTTTGCAGACAAACAATTACATAAAGATTCCTAGAAATCTCAATCTTCAGCTCTCACACACAAGGATAAGGAATGAAACCAGAAACACTAGGGGAAATTTACAACATGCCACAGGCCAGACGAAGGGAGATGAAAGTTACTGCCAATGACCTGCCATTGCAGTGGCAGAGAAGTATTTGGTTAACAGAGCAAAAGACTGCTAGAGTAATGTGGCCAGAAGGAGAAAAAACAAGAGGGATTCTGGCTTTGTAGTGTGGGAGTTAGACTACTCAGCAGGCAGGGAAATTCTGGTCATTGCTCTATGGACTGTTAATGAATTTTACATTAGACAAACGTTGGATAACAAAGCAAAAAATAATTCTGAGCCCAGTAACCAAAACCTGGGCACATGTTCTATCTACAAGATTACTGCACAAAAGCTGAGGGGGGTGATGACACCTCCAGATATGTTGTTGAGTTGGTTTGTACAAGGCCTTCTCTAACCCCGTGGAGCAGATGAAGCCCTTTCAAGGTCTCAGGCAGAGGTGAGGTGCTGATTCACCTCATATCTGCATCACAGTGGCCTTTAGATGGATGTTAGGTACTTGCCTTCCCTAATCGCCTATACATGTGCAGAAACCTAGGTTTAATGCCTTATGGAACTTTGTGGACAAAAATGTAGTCACCAAATGAATGTAGACAGCTAATGGGTTTTGAATTGACTGGAATTGAGGTATTCTAGGTCACTTTTTGGGACTCTGTTACCTAAATTTCACCTAGACCCCATTTCAGTGCCTCAGACCCCACCCCACAAAATATTTTGTTTGGTTGTTTTTTATCTTGTTGAAGAATTTGAAAGAAATTCTGTTTTGGCTTGACATAAGGTGAATATTTTTGCAGCCACCAACCTGAAAAAAACATTATTTCAGCAGTTCCTCAGCCTCACCTTGCGACAGACCCACAGGAAGTTCAAGAGATCCCCAAGAGATGACTCCTTCAGGACCATATAAAGCGGCAGCTGATCTATACAACACCCCACCAGTTCCACCAGGTTCTCATGCTGGCCTAATGACTGATGGAACTTAATCCTCCCCAGGAAATCCTTCACATCATGGGGTCCAGCTGTGTCTGAAAGCACCAAGGAATAAAAGTATCACCACAAGGAGGCAGTGCAAACCCACGAAACATTGTCAACATGCACCCTGTACATCTTCAACATACAAGTAGGGTTTGGGATTAAATCCTGAGCTCAAGGCTTTATCACAACTCACTGACCTGATGCCAAGTACAAGTTTTCCCTTGTCTACATGGACTGCAGCCTCATGCTCCTCAACATGTTATCTAATGCATCATCATCAGATAGCTTCACCATTGTGTCCCAACAGAACAATTATGCAGAGAAGACAAGGCCAGGGATAGAGGGGCTGACAGGAAAAAGGATGATACTCCAATGTGGATACATGTGCAGAGAGCAGAGGGTGGGGACTGGGCAACTCAGAGCCCTATCTAATACTTTCTTAGACAATAAAGTAGGTCTGACCTTACAGAAGAGGGGATATTCCAGTGAATACACACAAGTGGATAAGAGAGATGTTTAAAATGCTGCATACTCCCACTACCTCTATTACCCTGCAAGGTTTTCAGGATGACTGCCTTAGTCTTCCCAGGGTTCTCAGTCTGCAGTTCTGCTCTGTAGATGCTCCCATAGCTGCCGGTGTGTATCAGCATCAAGGAGCCCGGTGTGAGTCTCTCTCGGGGTATCTGCAGCTCCTTCAGTGTCATGGCAGCAGCTTTTAGCAGGCTCTCCACCGTTGTCTCACTCAGCTGAATGTAAGAGTTCCCTGAGGCATTTGGCTCCTGCTGACTCTCTCTCTTGACTGAAAAAATAAACACATATAAGGTGTAAGTGTTGGGGATGGATGGGCTTTCCTCTTTAAAATACTGGCAAAGGCTTGCAGAAAAGAACCATCTCTTTACAGCACAATGAGGTACCCAAGACATTTCTAAATGAACTCACTGGCACATCAGAAGCAAGGCCTTTGTACATGCAACAAAACTGGTGTTTAATTGCCCTTTTGCACCAATTTAATGGAGTTACTGTTTGCACGCTTGGCAGCATATTGCGCTTTAATGACGCTGCTGTTTGCATGCGTGGTAGCGTGTTGTGCTTTAAATGACTTCATTAAGTGGCAAGATAAAACACCTCCAAGGTGTTTTAGTTTGCTACCTAACGAAGTGTAACAGAGCATAGGGTGCTGAAAACCAACATGCTCGGGGCTTGGCGGGCTTCCAGTGCCCCATGCACCACCCCCGCCGCCTTCTCCCACAGCCAGCACACCCAGCCACCCTCCTGACACCTTGCCACTCTGCCCCAGTGGCAAGCCAGCCATTCCCGGGCAGTCCCAGGCAGCAGAGATGGTGCAGGGGTGCTGGAGCTTACATGTCTCTCCAGCAGTGGGAAGGGGAGAGGGGGCAAGCTGCCACCGGGTCGTATGACCCCCCCCTGAGCTGTGGGGGACCCTGGTGCTTTCCTATGCGACAGGAGAGCCCCCCAGCCAGTGCCCACCCACTGGCAGCTGGCCCAGACAGTCCCGGGAGGTGCCAAAGCCATGGAGGGAAGCACTGGGCCCCACACAGCTCATGGGCTGTGCAACCTGGCAGCAGTGCATGCAGACAGGCTCCACTGAAGGAAAGAAAAAAAAAGCAGCAAGGAGCCTGATCTTTTTTTCTCTCTCTCTCCCTGGAGCCTGCCTGCCTGCCTGAGCTGCTTGGGGGCCCTGTGCTTCTCTCCACAGCTGCAGTGCCCACCAGGAACACCCGGGCCAGGAGCCAGAGACCAGGTGCCGCCTGGGGAGAGAAGCACCGGTCTCTCCACAGCTCAGGGACTGCTCAGCCTGCCAGCAGCTGCCCCCAGCCCCTCACCGCCGGAGGAACACGTAAGGATCAGGCCCCCACCTTTGTGTACAGGCCACAGGGGTTTAGTTCAGTTTAATTCTCTCTAAATTGAAGCGATGGAAAGAGAGGGTTTTTAAAGCCCTATCATTTCAATTTGGGAGAACTAAACTGAATTAAACCCCCATAGCATGCACAAGCACCCAAATATAGCCAATATAGTGCAGTGCTCTGCCTTGGCCAATTTGCTTTCCTTCTTTAGAGCTGGTTTGGGTATCTGTACATGGCATTGCATTAAGACATGCCCTCAATAAATACAGTACCCTGAGGATACAATGGATCTTGCTTTCTATCCCACTTGACTGAGAGGGAGAAGAAATAGTCTTGAACCCTCTAGTCAGGAGTGCTGGACTCACTCATCAGATCTATAAGACAAACACAGATGCAGCAGAGCTGACAGCTACAGGAAAAGTAGAGACTGAGGTGGCACATGTGGCACAGTGCTTACTTGGCCCCTGCTACTAACAGCCATGTCCAACAGGGTGCTAAAGCCCTGGGGTGTTATTTTTTCACCATTTAAAGTGCTTTACTGCCATGAACTTAACAGAACTGCACAACTTTACAGCACTTCAAAAAATGGTTACAGCACTTTAAATTAATCCTCGTTAAATGAGGTATGAAATTTGAAGTGATGTACTTTACAACACTTTAGCAACCTACTGCACTTTATATAACTTTTGTATGGTGGTCAAATTTCTGACCAGTGGAGAAGCCCCAGGAGGCTGCGAAGCACCCTCTGCCTCCTAGCCCTGAAAGTACAGGAAGGCTCAGAGTCTCCTCTCTCTACCACCACCACCAAACCCTGCACTTCTGTCATGTTTAAGAGAGCTGTAACTTTATACTGCTATAAAAAGCCCTAAATTACAGTGCTATAAAATGTGCATGGAGCACTTCTGTATGGATTCTGTAATAGACCTTCACCCCTCACTAGGCTCACCCCTAAATTCCCAGGCCTGCCAGGATGAAGCAGCTCTGTAATCCCAATCTAGCACAAGAGCAATGCATTTGACACCTCTGCTCAGCTATATTTAACTATAAAACAACCCTGGTTTTCTGGATATTATTCTTTTATATCACTATGCATAAAGGACTTTCTTCATGTGCAAGAGCAACAGCTATTTTATTCTGTAAGTAACTGTAGGTAGTTAGAGAAGAGACAGCTGTATGAAGTAGGGCATACTCTGTGCTTTATACTTTTGGTCTTTCTTGATGGAAATATTCCTAACGGAAATATTTCCTTCTGTATGGAAACCAAGATATGGGTTTCTTGCTATAACCTGCTCTGCATTACAGTGTTTTGAGTTTCTACCAGCTGGACCCCTACGCATGAAACACCTGTATCTGGAAATCACATTTATATTCCTTATGCAGAATATGCCCTCAGACCCAGCCTCACTGTGCTCCTAGCCCAGCACGTGGAAACTGAAGCTGTAGAAAACCCTCTGCATTGCATAGTAGCACTAACCTCCAGCAGTGTTAGGCCCAACTTCAGTAGAGTCCTGGCCTATATAGCCCTTAAAAAAAAGCAAGAACCTGCAGCTTGAAATCACATCCCCTGAAGAACAATATAGAATACTAGCTAAAAGTCTGAATCTATGTTAGGAAAACTGTGGCCCATATTTCTCCACTAGTGTATTTCTAGAGCGGCAATTTTCATGTTGACAAATCTCTGACCTTCAAGCAGTGTTACAGCTGGCCGGCACTTACTCAAAGCAGGGTTAGCTGCTGCAATGGATTAAACACCCAGGTTCTCTCTCACTACAAGCCTCCACCATTGCAAACACTGATGGAGTTGTACCATTGTACCACCTTTCCTGATGTGGACAAGACCACAGAAAGCCTAGCTCAGACTTTTTAAATCTCTTACTCCTTGACAGCCCATAGGGTGGGGAAGGCAGGAGGTAGTAACTGCAACTGAATCCAGCCTCCCCCTCCCACTCCCCTGTTCTGAACCCCCTGGAGGTTACCTTCATGTCCAGGCAGTACCAGTTGCTGCTGCTGCCGCTGCTGCCAATTTGTCTTCCAGCTTTGGTAACGGAGCCAAAGGATCACACTTAACACAATAACAAAGATGCCCACCAAGAAAACTGGAATGATGATCACTTCAGTCTGGTATTCACGCACAACTGTCAATGCAGAGGAGAAATAGAAAACAATAGTTGGCTGGCCATTGTACTGCTTAACAGTCACAGAGTGCACAAGTAATAATACACTCCAGTAACTTTAAACACGGTGTGCCCTTTGCAATAGGATCAAGGCACCTTTTATCAGCTGTTAATCTGATTTCTGCAAGTGTTGAGTATATGAGATTCCCACTGAAGTCAATGAGATTTCTGCACCTCTGACAATTAGACTACATATTTAGAAATCATAAACAAACAGAAATCATAGAAAAGTCAGTCTGAAAGGGAGCTCCAGAGGCCATCTAGTCCAGCCCCCTACATGAGATAGGAAAGGTCTTGTGTCCCCTAAGGGGATGAAACCTTGACACTAGTTTCATAGTTGATAGGGTCGGAAGGGGACCTGAGGAGATCATCATCATCAAGTCCGACCCCCTGCCATGGCAGGAAAGCACCATGCTCTATTAGCACCATGCTCTAAAGAATGCACAATTTTATCCCATATGTATGTGTGTGTGGGTGTGTGTGGGTGTGTGTGTATTACATACATACACATACAAATAAATATATGCTTATATGCCACAGAGAGAGACAGACAGACAGAGACACAAAGAAAGAAGGATATACATGGAACATTTACATCTAAAATGGACTTGGCTCTGGACATGAGATTGGTCACCATTTTGTTTCAACAATGCTATGCAACATTGTCATAGGAGGTGAAGCGAATAACATTAGCCATTAACAGTCAGAAGGTAGTACATGGCTTTAGAGAAGCAGGATGTAATTAAGTGGCTTGCTTTCTGGCCAGGAAGCTCAGGTTAACTTCCATTACTCTCTTCGGTCCCATACTGTAAGCGCTGCTATTCTTATATAAGGTGATGGCAACCCTCAGTACCCAGTTAATAAGAGTGGGTGGGACTCAGCACCTCACAGGATTGATCTCTGGAAAAGTATTAGATCCTTAATGACCATACATGGTCAAGGCCTTGTTTTTATGCCTTATCTGCAAAACAGTTCCCCCAAGCATACTCTTAAGGTGCTGTTTTCAGTAATAATCTAGAGGGAAGACTCTCCCCTAATGTGTCAAAAGCTGCATGTCTTACAGCAACTGGGTTTTCCATCCTGGTCTAGCTACACCTGCCTATTCTTACAGCAGCTATCACTATTTTTTAGGCACTGTCTTATGTTAGTCTCCCATCAAATACCATCCAGGCCCAACCCCAGCCAATTGTGGTAGATCAGCAGGGCTGCAAAGCCAAGAGCTGTGTGGCATCCCCATGGAAATGCTAGTGCAATGTTTATTGCTTACATTCCAGTGCAGAGTAATGTGGTGTATAAAGCTGAATCAGGATGACTCAGAGCTGGCAGAATTGGGATGCCTCCATGATGCTGACCATTGCCAAGATGTTACATCTCCCATCTTGATACCAGGAAATCTCCATCCACTATTCCCCTAGCATTTCTCTCCTTCACCTTCCCTACTGCCCTATTATAGATACCAATCCATGAAACATGCTCTAAGTGGTATATGTGTAGTCATGTAATTGCAGTTTTGGGCACCTACACAGTTTGCCATTCAGCTTTGGGTGTGCAAGCATCCAACATACAAGCCCAACAAGCTGTACTCCAGCCAGACAGGTATGCAGTGCTGTGCCATTACCCAGGTACACATTCAAGGCTGGGTAAGTATCAAAACTGTACCCAGACAAAAATCCATGACTAGCTGTTGTTAGACATTAGATGAGAGGACCCTCCCAGCTTTTAGCTTAAGAGTCCAGAGGCTACAGTATTTGCCCAAGGCATAGGGGGACCCAGGTTCTAGGTGCTTCCCCAGCCTACAGAGGATTTGAACCAGCATCTTCCCGCTTGCCATCAAATTGAGATAACTGCTAGGTTACAGGTAAGGTACCAGACAGAGCTCTTCCATTGAAGGACAGCCAAAGGATGGAGATAGGTGGGGCCAGGAGGAAAAGACTAAGTCAGAGTATGTGGCTTAATTAGTTGGATGCTGCCCTTAATGGTTAAGGGCCCTTGCTCCCAATAGGGCAGCTACAGTTCTTTATCCATCTCATCTAATGACTTGTAAATGGCAGGAGCAGTGGGTCACCTTCAAGAGGATGGCTGGAGAAGGGTCTGGCTAATGCCTAATCTATGGACTGAAAGTTTCAGCCCTATGCTGGGAAGCAGGAAATGCAGATTCAAAACTCCTTGGGTGAGGGATAGCTTAGAAGCTGGTCTCTTGTTCCATTAGCAAGTGCCCCAACCACTAGGTGACTGAGCTAAAACATAGGAGAGCCTTCATCTTCCACTTCCATCTTGCTTCTGGCAGGTAGGTGTGCAGGGTAACTATTTTGCCACAGGCTCAACAGAATCTAAAACTGTGTGTCTAAGTGCCAAAGACTGCAGTTTTATAGCTGCGTATATGCCATTATTAGACACTTATACAGACCTACCTAACTGCACCTAAGACCCAAATTTAGTTCCTCAGCCCCTCTGTTCAGCTACCTGGAAGTGCTTGAAGTCTCAAGGCACTTACATTTTTCAGCAGTAACGTTCCCTAATGTTTCAAGCTGTGCATGTCCATAACCCTCTAAGCCCAGAGGAGGCTGAGCAGCTTGGTGCTGCAATCATACCTATGCCCCATCAGGATGCAAAAACTAGGCACTCTTCTACCTTTCTTACTTGCAAGGCCCAATCCAGTACCTGCTGTCAGATCACAACCACAGAATCAGGCCCCAAACAAAACATGGGTAGGGAAGGAGCAATCACAACAACTATAGTCCAATAGCCCACTGCATGGAGCACCTACCCAGGGTAGAGATGACATAGGTGTTATTGCTGTCTCTGCCTAAGGGTATTTAAACCTGTATTGCTCAAATACCAGCCAGTCAAACACTCTTAACAACCAACCAAGCTAAAGAGCTGTCTCTGGTCCTTCTGATGATGCTGTTCTACTACGCATGCATAATAAAGGGTGTGTGAGAGACTGGGTAAGAGGATGAGTAAGCAAACAGGACTCTATAGGTTAGTGATCAGGGCATTCCCTTAGAGGACAGGAGACCTGTATTCCATGGTCTTCTCTGGTAATTCATAGAATCATAGGTTTAATAGGTTAATCATAGAATCATAGGTTAATTAATAGCAAATACTGAAATATCCTTGGAACAAGGACTGGAACCAAATTATCCCCCCTGCCAGGAAAATGCCCTAACCTCTAAGCTCAAGAGACATGCTTGCAGTTTCTCTGGCCCAGTGAATACAGAATTATTCCAGGTGACATGGAACAGCTTTAATAGGAGGGGTGGAGAGTACAGTAAACCCTGGAACATGCTTTAGTATGGTGTTTAGGGCACTCTTCTGAGAAGTAGGAGGTAGAGGTTCAAACCCTGCACACACACATATGAAGAAATAAACCTATGTCCAGAACTGAGGGGATCCTAACCACTACACTATTGGAAAAAGGGGTCAGCAGCTCCACCTTCTCTTGTGTTTTGAAGGAAGGGACTAGCATGGGGGCCAAATCCAAGAAACAGCTTGGAGTGCTGAATCCCTATAAGGGATAGAGATCTCATTGCAGCCCCCAAAAGGGGCTTGAAGACACATCCCTGTTCTTGGAGTTTCAGACTGGTGAGTTATCGTGGTTTCTCACTTAACAGGCTGACTTACATGAAACTACATGCTGACAGTACTCAACACCATGGCACCTCATCCACTTAATGGATCTAGCTCTAAGCCATCTAGGCCCAGTTGTTCTGCTTATGAGACCTAATAATTTAAAACAAGAACTATCTTTGAATCTTACCACATAGTTGGTCATTGCTGCTGCATTCCAGTAGCATACGTGTGAATTTCCTTACATCTTCTGCCATGATGAGCAAAATGTGAGCGTGTCCTTCACCTCTGGAATTTCCCCTGCACACACATGAAGAACATCATCAAATAAATAACCTAAGATGATAGGATGGCTCATGAACAGATAGGATACAAAGGTCCTTTTTTCCTGTGTCATTGGTTCTAATTTATTCCAGTTAGTAGAAGGAAGTAGCATGGGAAGGCTTTGTGAGTGATATGGGATACCCAGAATCAAATTTCGTTGATCATGTGTCACTGCATGAGTGGAATGAGTTTAAAGCCAAGTTTGTTCTGCAGTGCCATGCAGGAGACATAAGTATTGTTCAGTCCCCAGAGCTACGTGTATAAAAAAAGTCAAGAGCCATTAGCTCTCAAGGTAGAGGTGATATCTTTCATTAGACAAACTAGATTTTTGCAAAAAAAAAATTTAAAAAATCTTTAATTGCAAGCTTTCAGGCACATACACCTTTCATCAGGCATAGGAGAAAACATTGAAGAAGTATATGGATTGTATACGGGTACAATCTGGATACCAAGAACCATTAGCTTCATTCTAGCCTAAAATTATTTGTGCAAATCACCTGTCAGGTGCCAGAAGAAAAACAGCTGGAATAGTTAGCCTGTGTGGTTGATGACAAGTCAGAAAGACACAGGTTCAGACCCTCTTCTACGTGAGAGAGACCCTGGACATCCAGCTTCACAAGCAAGTAGGGCTACGTGTGCACAATATAAGCCAACCTGTGTGTAACTAGCTTGGAGGGGGTACTTATAATGCTATGTAGAGGACCAAATCTGGACCTGTAGAAGTCCAGAAAAAAATAGAATACACCCGTGAGACACACAGCTCCAGCCAACAAATGCCCTAAGCAGGACATGCAACATTGGACCATGGATCAAATGAAATGGTATTCTTTCCATTAAGGTCTGAAATGCTGATTCCACTAATAATACAACCAGGACTATAATGAAATTGTATACAAATCTTGATGCATCATAAATGTGAATCAATACATATATATATTGTTAATATCTACAGGAACCCATGTGTTCTTGAAATTCTATAAAGGTTTCACAGGCAATTCCACCCATTCCTCAGGCCAGGCCCTTTACATCTGTAATTATATACAACAGCCACATGAACATCCTTAATTGTATAACCATCCTTGCTGGGTGTGCACCCTTGATTCATCATCTAGAAACCACTGAATACTGATTTTTAGCTGTTTTGCATTAGTGAAGAAATATAAAGCAGGCAGTGGACACCAGTATATCTGATCCATACCTCTCTGTACTAGTTAGGTGTAACCACTACATCTGTAATTCTATACACTATTCAGGCATACAACATTACACCAATAAATCAATTATATCAAAGTTGTTTGGCTGGGTATGGCATACCTTTCAACGGCCAATTTACAAATATTTGAACCCCAACAAATATGAGGGCATATCTGACATTTTACAATATCATCTGTGCAAGAGCAACATGATATAGCTGTTTCTTCTATTAACATTGCTTAACCTCTATCCTGTTCCTCTATTGTACATATTTCACATACTATGTCCAAACTGTCTCACCTAAATTCCAGTGATGACACAGCACATCACACAACAAGGTGACAGACTATACCATTGTGAAATAATGGCATAACATGCCTCAGGGTTGTAGTCCACACAATTGTGAAATACAGGAAAGCCATACTTTACCATAATAATAATTTTTACACACTGATAAACATGCAACTTAAATGGTAGTATCAGTAAACATTTCCGGATATGGAGTCAGGTTTCTACAAAACATCAGCTGACTGATATACCTATATAACGTTATGAACCTTTCAAGACAATATAGCTATGATTCCTTTACAGGGTGAGTTGAATAAAAAATGTCAAAATGATTCTATTAAATTCTATTTTAATTTTAGTTTGAACATTCAATACTTTTCTACTTGATGCAAATATTTCTATCTGCAAGCAAGGTTGTGTGTGCACTACTATTCAGGGGAAACTCATGAAAATATTTGTTTTCTTATTCCCATGACTCAACGTATATGTACATTGGAAGGTGTCCCATTGCTACACTAAGTTTTAGATTGAAAAGATAAGGAGAGGGAGAGAGAGAGAGAGAGAGAGAGTGAGAGAGACACAGAGGGTGATACAGAAGGTGGGAAAACAGGTAACTGTAGTAAGTTACAAACTGGTGACACAAAAATAGAAAGTGATAGTTCACTCAAAGCCCATAGCAGTGGGACAACCCAGTAGTGGGAAAAAGTTTATAAACCCCTTGAGTGCAGCCCCAACAATGAAGCATTTTTAGTCAAATAAGAGAGAGAAAAATACGTGATCAGGGATCCTGGTTTTTCTCTGATAACAAAAATCGCAAATTTTCTGATTTAAAAACCCCCAAAATCCACATTTGTCCATGACTAAAATGAAACACTATATATTGATAGATATATATCATAATAACAGCTTCACTTTATATATATAAAAAGCAAAGCTGTTTATTATTGCTGTTTATATATAATGCTGTTTCATTTTAGTCATGGAAAAATTTAAATTTTGTGTTTTTTAATATATATATTTTTACAATTTATACACACATACACATATTTTGTTTTGACTTCTGTTTCACCGGGACAGCATTTCATTTTGAGTTTTGTTTCACATCAAAAGCAGTGCTGTTTCATTTTGTCAAAACTGTTTCACTGTTTCAACGTTTTGCCACTAGGCTATAATGGGGAAGCATGAAACTACCTATAAACTTGCCATTTCTTGCCTGATTTGAATGAAACTTGCAGAGAAGATAGCCCCTGCTCAGGCCAAAGCCTGCCAAGTTTCAAGAAGATAGGTGCAGGGGCTTCTGGAAACCTGCAGTTCAAACTGTTCAGAGCAAAACTTGTGTCACTTGTAAGTGTGAAGTTAGCAGAAAAAGCATTATTTGAACTGAGCTTTCTCTATGTTTTTCCATGCCTCCCCCAGAGTAATGGGATTGGAAGGGACCTCAGGGAAGGATCACAGTCACTGGTCAGCTACACGGTCAATGTCAGAGCAGTCTTTCCCCACTCTTCCTCCTCCCTCTCCTTACTTTTGGTTTCCCTGCAGGAAAGCCCAGCTTCAAAATGTTTCGAAAGTTTTGAAATGTTTTGACTGCTCTCATTTCATTTCAAGGCTGTTTTGAAGCCTTTCATTTCAATTTCACTGTTTCGAGCTTGAAACGAGTTGAAACAACATTGAAACCCAACAGCGGGCGAAATTTTGCACAGCCCTAATAGACAGATAGATATAGTGGTGTATAGCCTGCCCCCCACCTTGGACCTGGACCCAGGCCTGTCCTCCCTCCCCCCCACATCAGGCCTGGGGCCACTCACCACCTCCCCCTCCCCTACTCCACCGGCTCTGGCCGCTCACCCCCCACCCGCTGTCTCTAATCCTTTG